ACGTTGCTCGCTTTCTCCACCTGTGAACCAGACTTCCAAACCAGAAGCGTTCAGTTTAGGAAACAACAGTGTACACATACAGGTGACGGTACATACAGGACTAAACTACGGGAGAACAAAATGGTACTTTGGGACACACCGGAAACCGACAGTTTTGGATAAGCACGCAGTCAATTCATTTGCACTCCTGTTCAAACATAACCGCGTAGAGTGCTTGAGTAGGCCAGAGGTGCCAATGCAGAACCCACTTTGGCCAGTAACTGCGGGATGTAGTATATCCACCGGCTCCAATTGGGATTTTGAAATATCATAACACATGTTGCCAGTACACCCATTGGCAGCCAAGTGAAACAGGTGAAAACCAGAATGTGGCCAGCTAGCTAAAATTCGGAAATTAAAGGATTCGCTGGCTATCATTGTCATTCAATTTATCGAAACACCCTACTACTGAGTAGCTTATTACAAAGGATAATTTAACTGACTAATCAAGATAACTATAGAGCAGTATTCGAAACATCGCTGTTCAGAACAATTCCGCAAGAGAAGAATTTATGTAATCAAAGCAACAGAATCAGCTACACTCACAGGTCGTACCGTTTCACTCTTCTATTCAACTTGCTTAGATGAATGACGACGTGCAAGACTTTCTGTCGATGACTGACTGAAAATGCGAGCACATTCGTGGAACACTTACTGTCACGCTGAGCAGTATCTGGTGTCATGGCTCAACGGCTATGTTAATAGGAAATGTCAAGTACGCCATGATAGGTGCACAGAAGATTCAACGTTGCGATGTCGTTGCCATGAGTTTGATGGATTTTAGATCAACCGAATGAAAGTCGCACCGACCATTCTCGTGAGAAGGATGTTTTACTTTTCTGAGCTTCCCGGCTCTCGAAGTTCTTCGGTCGAGATCGTCCGGTTCCTTCGAACCACATGATTTAAAAGTGGTCCAACTACCAGCTAAGGCTGAAATTATTAGCTTGATGAGTGTAGGTCTGCTGAAGATTCAGGATAAAGTTTTACTGTCAAGCTTGCCAATTACAGAGGAAATGCAGACCTTACAACAGCCTTGTCATTTTGTTGACATTATAACGTACAAAAGCTTCACCTGAACGGGTCTTCTGATAAGTCATCTTGAAGACATTACCACATTCGTTCACTATTTCTCAATCAACATGCCAATTTGTATCCTTCATAGACAAACCGTTGCCAAGCAATCATCTGAAAATGTCATCAAATACCTCGTTGGCAGATACAGCCCGATACACCTGCGGTGAGTCATCCGAATCACTATCATATGCACTCACGACCTCGATATGACTACGCGGTGCGCCCAAACGTATATGTGGACAACGGAATGGGAGCTTTACCCAGATTATAGCAGCTGAAATGACATCCGTCCGACGTAGACAGGTGAGATTTTTTGCAAAGAAGGTGTGACACATGTGGGTGATCGTCTAATGCTGTACGACCTTGTTATCACACCGCACCAACGCTGCAATCTACTACTGGAGCAACTCCACGAAGAGCATCCTGTAATTAGCTAGCAGTTACACTTATCAGCTCTCCTTTTGAGTGAACATTGAAACACTTATGGTCGCTGCGCAAAAGTAGCCTAATCTGAGACGAGATCGCAATTGTTCTCAGTGCTACTGGTCAGGGAAATTTGGTGGTTGTAAAATCGACATCATCATGCTACTATTTCCGCTACTCGGACAAATCGACTGAGATGAGGCGTACATTCTCAGTCTCTCCGTTTTATCCAGTATGACTTCCCATCACTAGTAACTTATTGTTAGTACAGAGCAGCAAGATACTGACCCAACAGATACATGATTTGTTTTTGGCTTTCCCAGGTACGCTTCATCACCTGGTTTAGATAGCAAGAGTCTTGTTGTTTTGTTCTACCTAGTATAACCGTCTGGTAAACATTTCCTACTCACCAGCAACACTTGAATACCTTTCAGGCGCACTGAATTAATGTCGTACGACCGATGTGACGTGCAACCATAGCTTAACTTTAAGTGTCACTGCATTCCGTCCTGTGTGTACCACGTTCTTAATGAAAAAATCTGAAGCTCATACCAGAGGGTTGACTTACAGGGCGAGAGGATTTCTATTTGCAATCAGTCAACTCACCCGATTACGTTCTGTAAGTTTGTTTTTTGGGTTCGGGGATTCTTCTTTCCTCGTCACAAACCACAGAGACTGAACCAGCTGAACCTGAATAGTGTAAAATACGGTCACTGGTGTGTGTTTATATGCGAATTAGAGGACGCCCCAGCTCACGGGTACAATGAGGACAATTAGTCTAACTCACCGAAACGGCCAACTCGTTTAGTTATACTGCAATAAAACGGAATTTTTTCGTACACAGACATTCCATCTGAACATCCTTAGTGGATTCTCGGAAGCACAGAAAACCTTTTGCATATAGAAGAAAAACGAGGTGAACAAACTCTGAAAATTGGAGCAGTTGACTCCATCAACTTACCACACACTCCGATTCACTTCGAGACGGTTGACTTGGTGGAGTTGGCTGTCAAGCTAGAGGAGTTAAAAACTCCAAAATCCTTCTGTAACTATTGGTTTGCAGTGCTTGGAGTCTGTAGCTATAGAGCAACTTTCTTTAACAAACTAGGAGGTTCACTAATGATTCTCTGCTTTCAAAATCATTGTGTTATCAAGTCGACTGCTTTGCTCTATTCCATAATACAATGACACCCATCACAACCCTTTCCAAAGGATGCACATTATTCGTGGGAGTGCGTCATCATTTTCGTTTCAGCAGTCGGTTTGTCCCAAAAATTGCCAACCAAGCCGCCCAGTAATTCATGCTTGTCCGACTGATCGAGAAGGAAAAATAAGCAGCTCTCAAGGAACTACATTTGTGACTTCTTCGACTGCGCACTTATACGACGTAACTGACTTATTCTTTACACCGGAAAATGTAAGACGACGAATGTTTATTCAGATAGATCCTTAGTAGCCCAGATCCAACGTGGGGGTAATATATGTAACTGCATTGACATGCCAGTAAATAGATAATTTTGGATAGCACATTGTCAAGGCCTGAATTTGTGCGCACCCTTACACTACTGATTGGTTCTAGGTCTACAAGGACGGAGGGCAATAATAGAGGATAATTTCCGGATAATTAACCAGGATAATAAACCAACAGAAATTTTGGAGAGCGTCGCTTATTGAAGATGTTTGGTCCTCTTGCATGTGCGTTCTTTACGACAGTAAAATAGACATTTTTACTAAGTGAGAGTGGTTTACGAAAAAATATTCACTTGAAAACTAATTTTTTTTCAAGAAACTCCACCAGGTCCAAGCTAAATCCATAGATTTTATGCTAGTCCGAGGGCGGCCTCATAATTCAGATAGCATGAGATTCAATAGATTGACGACGACACAATACTCATAAGGTTGATGAGAAGCCATCGGATCTACCAGGCGCAGATGCGTACGTGTGGACACACTCGCGAAAATGTTACGTACGAAAGGAATGGCCAGAAAGCTGAGCAAAATGCTTGGGTTTTATGATACGACGGAGTCATAGCGGGTAAACCATGAGTAATTAACAGGACGGTTCGAAGTGTATCTGTCTTCGCAAACCATGTCTATTTCCCACTCGACATTTTGTTGTTGTGGGCAATGGACTTTCCTGCCCATGTCCCATAGGCAAGTGTAATGATCTTACCGCAACCCAACTCCTTCCTAATACAATTCTTTCCGTTCCCGATTCATTTTAGCATCCAAGATACCGCAACGAAACCCGACACGTACTGTTCAGTCGTCGGCAAATGTTTGCAGAAAAACCTGCGGTGGGCTGTTTGGAACTGAGGGACGTCGAAATACAGCTGACTGAAAAACAGTCTGAGGGATTCGAACTCGGGGAAAACTGAAGACCAAAACGGTGATGCTCCTTAGTATGTGGGCATGGTTTGCATGAAGATTGTTCTCAATACAACCTAGTTTCTACAAAAAATCTTGGAAACCGAGCGGAAATTAAGTGTCTCATTTTAGGCTTAGCTGATGAACGATACTGAGCACAGTTGTGTTTCACGTGTGTGTCTCACCTAGAATTTTAGCACTAAAATGACTCGTAACAATTTATTAACAGATCAGTCAATGAGTCCCCGCATCATGAGCGAGTTAAAGACCGAAGAACAACCAAGACGAAACCAAGAGGAACAATATGATCTATGGAATCAACTGCGACAGGTTCTACGTTGGGCAAACTGGAAGATTTGCGCACGAATAAAAGAAAACAACGCAACTATCAGGAGACAACACCGTATGCTTGATATCCATTCACAAAGACCATTCACAGATACAGTCTGGAAGACGTTGAAATCTTAGCACACGGGGACACAAGACGTGGGAGATGACTTGTGTAAGCACGGTATTCCATGACCGATTCGATAAAACGGCGTATTGAACTAGAACCTAACTACGCACCATTACGTGCAAAGGACAAACTTGAAGACTCAAACATTGCCGATTATGGGATTAACAAACAGAGAGACTTGTCTGAAGTCAGAAATCAAAAGCCAAAAAAGAACACAGGCGATCAAAGATCACGTAGTCGCCAACCAATCAAAACACAGGGCAACAGATAAACCAATGAAAATATCCAACTGAACAATCAGTCGTGATCAAACGTCAGTCTCCAGCTAGTAGCACGTATATTACCACATATGCGCCACTACTCAACGCACAACTATTTAGCCATCAATACGCTCCACTCTACACCCCAACAACGCACCTCAATGGCTGATGAAAAGTTTGCAATCAAACTGCCCGACTCAATGAACAAACCGAATACCGTATATGCAGAGTTAGGTAATCATTTGCTAGAAAAGATTATGTGGAGATGTAAAGGTGAGATAAATGAATGAATCAGAAGACCAATTGTAAAGGCTTTGCGTATCATGTCAACAACATGACCAACTCTTTATGATGGAGGATTTTCCTAACAGGTAACTTACCAAAAACTCCATCAATGTGACATCAAGTTTTCCAGCTGCGCATTTTTCGCGGTCGCTGCTGGTCACCACAGTAGACCATGCGACATGTAACGACAAAATCGCAGAACCAACTGGAATCAGGTATCCAAATATCGTTAGGGCAAGCAAGAAACCCAGTGATTTCCGATCGCTTCTCGAGATGTCCAAAGTGCAGGCAGTTTGGTGAGGACCAATAGAATAGCTGTCGTACAATACACAGGGCATAGAGAGTGGCATGAGGAACCGGAGTGCAGATTACTGGTTAAGATAAGCGGACATTTGTAATTTTTTAAGTGCCATTGACTACTCGGAACGGCATGCCATCAGTTACAAAAATTAGCTGTCCGCTTTTACAAAGTCAAAATTTCCATGCAGTTCAAACTGTGCAGCCTGTACGCTTGACAAATGAGATTCCCATTAACCTTCTGGGGCCGACAAATCGACTTCGGCTAGTAATCAGATAGCCTCCAAATTTTTCGGTTAAACCAGAGACATAACAGACTAACAAAGAACTCAGGCGCCCAGTGGCAGCTGTACACCGTTGGCTTTCAACTCCCAGATGATGCTTGAAATCACTCTGATTCTTCCTGCCATGAATACTACTACAAATCAGTTGGAGTATACTAGCTAGCATTGCATGTTCCTGCAAACCAGGTGCACCCTTTGTAATGCCACTTATCTGTGCTATTTTCCTTGTAATCGTGCAGTTTTGGAAGGAGGGAAGTAAGCCCATACATTGTTTTGAAGGCCTTATAATTATTCATCTTTTCACCGGTGTTCACCAGCAAGTTCACTGAAACAAAGTAACAAAAACTATCTTTAACCTATTTCAAGTGTTCGTGCTATAACGTCTATGCTGTATTTGCCTATCGTAGCAAAACACATACGAAAGCAAGACTACTTGAATGGCGCGGCAGCTGATCAAGATCTGCCTTTCTGCGGGCTACAAAAGCTGCCCTGTTCAGGTATTGGTGAAAGGGTAAGCACCCTTAGGACTTTCTTTGAGAGCAAAGCAATTATATGCCATCGGAAGCAAATTGAAAACCCAATTTTCACAGAGTTCGTTCTCTGAGTTCTGGATTAACGCACCATCAGATGTAAAGCGGATGCTGTATACTATTGTGACCAGATACTACTCAAATGTTTCATCAGGAGTGCATGCAGTTACACCCTAGTGATGTTGTAAGTTTTAAATTCCTTTCTACCACTGCCATAAAGACATCCTGTACTCAAATGTTTCATCGGGAGTGATGTTGTAAGTTTTAAATCCCTTTCTACCACTGCCATAAAGACATCCTGGAGCGATGGACGGGGCAAATATTCCAATAATGCACCATAGTTTTCTATTCACACATCACCGGTGACTCAAAGCTTCACAATAAAACTGTGCCGATACAGTAATTCATTTAGTCTCAGAACAGGTTCATGCTTTGGACTGGTTATACAACTGAGGATAAAACTGGTTGTTTAACCAGCGGAACACTACTGAAAACTGAAGAAATTCGAGCGAGAAAATCAACAAATTTTAGTGTCTGTGTGAATATTAATAGCAATATTTCTTCTTGTTGCTTGTTGCTAAAAATTCAAGGCAAATAACTATATCATCTACGTGGATTATGAGAAAATCACATTGATGAGGTATCATGGAACAGATTGACTTGCTGGTAGTACAAGGATTTGGACTGGTAGGGACTTCATCATGGAATGACCAAAGACGGGCAGAGAGTTGAAGTATTGCCTTTCTCAATAGATACGAGAATGCACTTCTGTCTATCCTATTTTCAACATATATGCGCCTGGCAAAAATGACGGTATCAGTTCTACCAGTAAGCCAAAACGAAACAGTAGTTCTGTATTTTCGAGTACCAAGCAGTACTTTGAAATACCACCCATGTAGCCAGGTTCAATCTTGAAGCGGTTGTCGGTCGTATTGAAAACAACAATGAAATTTAGGTACTTCAGTTCGCCATTAGATTCAATTGTTAGTCCTTGAGTTCAGAAAGATTACAACTTGAAGTTCGATATCTAACCGTTCGCAACAATTTTGTGGTTCACAAAACTTCGAGCACAAAGACGGTACCTTAGTCAGAGTAGTACTTAAGTGAAGTCGGGAAGAACTACCACTCTCTGACTTTGTTTGTTCTCAAGCCGTCTTTAAGCCCTTCTAAAGGAGAAGTATTCCGCTGGCACTCGAGAGTTTTCGGGCAACGGGTCTCTGAAAATCAACGGTGTGACGTCTCAGCATATTGCCACGGGTAAATTCGCTCTTGGAGAAAGCTTTTACAATATAACTACGGGTTAACACGGCCGTTTACACGGCGCTACACAGCTGGACTAATTCGTATCAGAATGAGTGCAGCAAGTTGCACATGCAACCCAAGCCTACTTATTGTTGTCGAGTCTAGCCCTCTCCAAGCATTGGAGACTAAGCGTCTACACTTTTCACTGGACAGTTGAATTACGCAGCCTTTGAAGTTTCTGTCTTCTGCTTGCCTCTGCTTCATATACGGCCTTAATATGTGGAACAATTTGCTAGCCTCCGAAGATTTTTAGTAGGCGAAATTGCACTTTAAATATTCATAGATTACCATATAAAGCAACAATTCCTAGGCTGTAAGCTGCTAGTGAAACGTCGACTTCTTTTCTGTTTCACTGTATTAGACGGGATACAATAGGCTAGTTCTGAACAATGAATTATAACTAAAACAGTAATAGACAAATTCAGTCGATTCCAAATAGTTTCTTTATTGGATCACGTTCTCCAAAGAGAAAATCATCTCACCATCCTGCTCTGACAGTTTGTTGCCTTCCAGTATCTCTAAAAAAACTCTCCACTTTGTTAGTTACCCTGCCTCTAGAAACGTCTGACAATATATATTAGGCGTCCTTTGGGCTAGGTTGGAAAACACGACAACAAAGTCTGCCGGAACCGATTTTGTTTTTGTTTATCAGTGAAAATTCGATACCATCAACATGAAGGCTCAACACCAAAGAAAGTCTCATCAAAGTAGTCAAGTTTCATCATTGTCACTCGAACACATGTATTTGGTCACACCCAGATGTAAATCAAGCGAGGGTTACGAGTAATAAATGAACTGGGAATGATGATTCACTTAGATGAGTCGGACACTGAAGAATTTTGAAGAATAATTGGAATAGACAACCGAGTCGCATGTTAATGTCACCTCAGGTTTCACATTCTTCGCATGCAACTGATGGATTCTATGTAGAATTTAATTTGTGCTAGTGAATAAATCAAAGCTGCTGTTGTCGATTTTGTTCTCCAAAACGTATCATTAAAGTAAAAGTAAATCACTGTTTGTAGTTGAACGTTTGTGGACTTTTAGGATAAGTAAAGTGTTCACATCAGTAACCACCCTGTCTGGCTGGTTGACTTAAATATTTATGTTCCGTCTCCCCTGACTTTTAACTTATCAGTTTTTTCACCACTATTGGCCAAAGTTTTGGTAAGGTTTCATTTTCAGCTCCCTGGAAACGAATTTCCTATGTTTCACTAGACTTGAAATTTCTCGACCTCCAAAGTCGGAATGATATAATGTTTGAAGCCAATTTTCAGAGAATTGAAGGTACGGTTGAAACTCGCAATTTTGGCCGCAGTTGTACTCATGCTACCATCACTCAATCATCGGGACCTGATGATCAGACAAGCCGATCGATAAGCACGGAGCACTGGGATCGGGAGTAGCTACCCGTCCCAACATGATGGAGGCCAATGTGCCAGCTGAAACACTGATCACATGGCCAGCGTTTCTAGATCAAAATCACTGTTATGCGTTGTGTGATGTCAGCTGTCGACAGAGACAATTTGGCATCATCCGATCCGTGGAATAACTAGGCACCAAGCGGAGCAAGACATTTTTTTTCAGGTCAAGAAGACCACAATATTGGATGTGCAGTCAAATCCACACTAATCTATGCTACCTGAGGAGAAGCTCGTCTATGCTTTTTTCTCTTACTTTCCACCAGTTGGACCATATGCCAGAGAACAAAACACGTCGCGACCATGATCACATTATTCACTAAAACTTCCGCCGCAAAGAGTTATTTTGTCACCTATTCGAATCCGTAAATATCACCACAGGAGAAAGAATATTCAAACAACTACGTTACTAAACATTTCTAAACTGACTGATGATCTGCTTGAGGCATAAACAATGTAGCTGCAGGGTTTATCCGATGGCTCTGTGGTGCCGTAATTCTGCATGGTCATGTGCCAAAAGATCAACCTACTTCTCATGATTCAGTATACTGAAAATTCATGCGAAGCTGATTTTTGATATTGTGAAAACCTTACCTCAGATTTTAGTAGCATCGGTTTGCGCAGACCTCTACTAGGGATATTGTAGTTTGCCTGCATAACATAATTCAAAGGGTCCTGCGGATGCCATTCACCAACTCCAATAGTGTTTTGGATTCAGTTGAACGAGAGATTCTCTTTCATAGGCTTTCTAGGCCCGTCGAATGTCCACATAACATCAACTACTTTACTAGCCAAAATCAGTGCGAAAAGCATATCCCGAGGAGCAGTTTTATTGCCTTGTCTACCCAACTGTTTTTACCAAAACCACTTGGAACCTGATGAACATTGGAATGTAGCCAAACAGGAGTGAAACAGTCGTTAGCAAAGCTCAGTTACTTAAAGTACATAAAAGTTGCAACCTCATGAACTTAAGTGTTCCTAATGCATAAAGACTTTGTTCACACTAGGAAGCATTAAACAACCCAAGAACATTTCAGCCAAACTGATAAGAAACGATTGCTTAAGCTGAATGCATGGAATATCTTGGTTTCAGGGCATCTTGAAAAGGACTTTATCAGGTTGGCAAAAGTCTTCTGCGAATTCAAAATGTTTGATCTTATATAACGGCTTTCAGCAACCGGGTAACTTGATATTTTGCCGAGGACACCCGTTACCACTTATTCTGTTTCGTCTGTATTATCACAAAATGGTTCATTTAGATTCAACTAGTAAACAACAAAATTCCATTTACTATACTTAGAGCACACTGATGATATCTTGACCATAAAACTGCTCCACAACGTAGGCGATGATGTGCGAATCAATGTTCGCTACGCCTTACATGTATGGATCTGCAGTAAACAACAAAATTCCATTTGCTATACTTAGAGCACACTGATGATATCTGCTCCGCAACGTAGGCGATGATGTGCGAATCAGTGTTCGCTACGCCTTACATGTATGGATCTGAACAACG